TTATTAATAAATGAACTGTATGATAAACCAGTGAATATTTCCACCAGCAATCCACAAATGTTAACACAAGTCTTCACTGAGTGACACAACAGAGAAATAATTCACTAGAATAACTCTAGCTGACGCTGAACACAAGAATAAATAGAGTTTATGAACATAAAGTACACTGACCGCTGTGATAGACGAGACAAAGCAGCAGCAGATTCCAGCATCTGAACCTGATGAGAATAAGAGCTGTTATGAGACAGATACAGACACACATCACAAACACATTAATACAGCCATAAAATACTGCTGAGTGGACAAATATTACAGAACTGACCACAATACAGCGACTACTAACCTTCAGCTTCAGTTTATTTAAATATTTAACACTCGTGGATCTTACATGATAAAAATGTCTAATAAGAAACATCAAACTATAATCTGAGTCTTTGGTTTTATAAATATAACATGATCTGTCAAACCCAATGGACACAAACAGACAGAGTAACCACATCAACGTAGAAATCATTTGATTGCTTTGAGTAATCAATGTAGAACTTAATAATTACATTAATAACCCCACTAATAAACACCATCATCATAATCTTTGTTCATCAGCATAATAATAAACATGTTCGCTTATTTCCTCAGCATTATTAGCAGGCAACCCTTTTCCACAAATAAACACAACTATTGATATAATGAGACAAAAACATACAAGCTTTATATTTAAAAGGATTAAAAAAAACTTACATTGTAAAAGTTCTGCACGAGTTTTACATTCTGGGTGTCTTAATGTCGTACACCACAGCGCGTTTAGTGAGAGATATGACTGAAAACGAAACCGTGTCACAAGGGTATTTTTCAGAGGAATATGGTTGTATCCTTCCTCTATGAAAGAGTATGATTGGTGTTTATTGCCCTCTGCTGGTTATTCTATCAAAGCAGACTGAGCTGTCAGAAGATGTGAGATCTAATATCTTACATAGATAGACATTTGGCTAAAAAACAGTGTGAGAGTCCAGATACAGTCAGCTGAAGTTTATTCTGAACAAGATCTCTGATGATTTCAGTCTGATCTCAACAGTTTGAGCAGGAGATGTAAACTAATTTAACATCTACATATATATCATAATATTATCAATAAAGCATTATTTTTCTGAGCTTAGTAAAAGAAAATAGTAAAACTATTTAATTCATACAAAAATACAAACCAACAAATCAACACCAACAAAAATGTTTCTTACAAAAATAGTTTAATACATACTCTTTCACAGCAGATTTACAAAGAAGAATGCAAATCCCAAATTAAGCAAACCAAAGCAACATATAAATATAAAATATATATTTAAATAGAAAAAACAATGTACAATATATACAGATATGCATGTTTACCGTTTATATTATAACATTCTAATTATATTTATATTATATTATAAATGCTTTACTATTTTTTTCTGTTAATGGATTCGAATAGAAACAATAAGTCCTAGTTAATGAATCAGGATTGGTATAAGTGACCAGTCCAGATCTTTAAGGCAGCTTTACACAAATACTAAACGCAGATACAGTTAAACTGATTCCTGATGTAGGGCTCTGCTCCAAATGTGCTCACGTACTGAAAATTACAAATATAGTGCAGAAGCATGTTGACAGAATCCTCTGCAGATCTGTTGGCTCTGAAGGCAAATTACAAGTAAAGTAAAGAAGTAGAAGCTACATTGTTACTAAGACTATGCTCAGTGAGAGTTAACATTTCACAAAACCCATGTGTATGATGCAGTGTATGATGGGGATTTTTAAACTCAACTTTAAGACTTTTTAAGACCTGCACAAATAAAATTAATTCCATTAGAGCAGATCAGGGCAATGTCTATGATAACATACTAAACCATAAAATGACTGTAAAAAGCATGATTTAAGACTGATTAAGGAA